ATTACAGCTACACGGGGAGGAGAGAGATCATTTTCCAACAGTCTCCATCCTCGGCCTCTTCCCCGCCATCCCCTGCTGCTGGCCCGGACCCCACCTCACTTACCTGTTTATGCATTTCAATGTTCAGCCCGTAGGACATCTCATAGTACTGAGAGCAAAATCACAACACAGCCTGGTTAGGAGCTGCCCAGAGCAACTGGTCCATTACAGCCAACCAGGGGCTCAGCAGCCAGCCCACCCCTGCTCCCCCCATCCGAACTCCACCACTGCTGCTGGGGGTCTCTGCTCCCCCCACCCCCTAAGAAACAGCTGTCCAGCACGCCATGGACCCAGACCCGTGTCACGAGCCTGGGACAAGGTAGGGAGCAGCCACGGTGTAGACTGTTTAACACCTGTGATGATTCCACTGCAGTTTCTGCATTAGTTTAAGCCAGCGTAAGCCAGTCCTGTTGTCCACCCACATCCCCTCCTGTCCTGGCCTGTCCCTTCCCATTCCTAACCCAGACCCACTCCCTGATACAGCTGCCCATCTAGTCACAGGGGTGGCCATACCAGCGCAAAAGCAAAAATGACATCAGGTTACACCTTTTGCCAGTCACTAGTGACTCTGGCAGTGGTGACAGCAGCAGACCCCATTCCCTCGCCCCTGAGGACGGGGAGAAGGTGGGGACCAGAGGACCTGTATTCCTCCAGCAAAGCCCATTTCAAAGGTGGCAGCCCACCTCTGGGAATCCCCGAGCCTCCAGGATGTGGGAAGGGATCCCAGCTAGTGGGTGACAGGAACATGCCCTGTGATGCCGATAAAGCAGAGTACACCCCTGGCCTCACAGACAGGGCTGTCATCACCCAGGAGATGGAGCTTGCCTAAGTTTAGGTCTGTTTGCCTTTTGGATGGCATAATTTGGGTTCCCCCTCTCCCTAGAGGGGCCGGTAATGTCAGATGCTGAAGGAGAGTGAATGCTGCTCTGGCTCTGCAGTTCCCATCCTCTTCCCTTCCTTCCAGCAGCTATCCCCCCTCCTGCCAGGGCTACCAGCAGAAGGCCTGGCCTCTGGGTGGTGTCCAGGGCTATTAACCCCACACTGGTAACTGCAGAGGGGTCCTGCCCTGCTCCTTCTAAAGGCAGCTTCCCCTTCCACCCAAAACGCTGGCCTTGGGGTGTCGCTTCCAAGACGCCCCCCCCTTGGGAGAGAGACAGGAAGGAGGGGGAGAGAGCTCTTAAAAGGCCAAACAAAAAAAAGGAAAAAGAGAAAACAAAAGAGACAAAACCTATGGCTCAAGCAGCACCGAGTGGCAACAGGCATCAGCAGAGGAGCCAGCCATTGCTAGGAATAACGATTAACTCCTTCCTAACTCACACCCCCCCCAGCCCCACCACCCAGGCCAGATCCAGGCCAGGCATCCCCCTGGCAGGGGTGGCTCGGGGAGGCCGCTGGCGCATTTGGCTGAGTGGAGCCCCAGAGTCCGGGACCTCACCAGAGGGTGGCAGTCAGGGATGCTTTGGGGGAGGCATGGGGGACAGGGCAGGGGTAGCTCACCATGACATAATGTCTCTGCATCTCCGTCTTCTCGCTCACCAGCTTCTCACATTCCAGCTTCAGGCTGCAAAGAAGATCCACGGTTTTCATTCATGGACCCACATCTTCTGCCCTGTCCCCCCAGTTCCGACTTTCCACCCCGTGACCTCTGCAAGCTCAGCACATCTCCCGCCTCCCCCTGTAGTCTCATGGGACCGCAGGGGTGTCACACACCCACCCCTAACTGGCATTGCCATCCCTGAGGGACACGAAACCTGTGGCTGTGCTGCCCACACAGCCCCCACTCCCCCACGGGCGGTCTATCACACCCACCCGGTACTCTGTTCCCGCAGCACCGCTGCCGTCCCCTCCACGTCACCCTGTACCCAGCTCAGCCGGAGGAAACAAACCGTGGGTGGTCTCCCCCTTGGGATCCCCACTCAAGACCTAGCACCCCAATTCACGGCTTCATGCTATCCCTCAGCCTAGACCCCTCTCCCACTCTTCCCCAAGCACTCCTTTCACCAGGAGCCCTGTCTCCATCTTCTCCTGCCCGAATCCACCCCCTGGTCTGTGCCCCTTCCTCCCCCGTGCCCAGACTCCCCTCTCCCCGTGCCCTCAGTCCCCGTTACACCCCTTCTCCAGATGCTCGCCGCTGCCCGCAGCCCTGCCTGACCCCC